ATCCCAGAAAGATACACTGTCTAGACTTCGCATCAAGCTTCGACCTCTCCTCACTAGAAACATGTACATAGGCTGGACATCCAAACACTCTCAAACCAGAGTAGTCTACCTCACTGCCTGTCCACACCTCCTCTGATACTTTCCCATCTAGTGCTGCCCTCGGTGATCTGTTAATCAAGAAACATGCCATATTCACTGCCTCTGCCCAGAAATTCTTTGCAAGCCCTGCATTCAACCTGAGACACCGAGCTTTCTCGGCTATCGTTCTGTTCATCCTTTCCGCTACACCATTTTGTTGTGGTGTCTTGCGGACTGTGAAGTGTCTCTTGATCCCATGCTGCTCACACAACTCCTGGAACTTTGAATCTGTGTACTCAGTACCATTATCTGACCTGAGGCATTTAATCTTCCTCCCTGTCTGGTTCTCTACTTCAGCTTTCCACAGCTTGAACTTGGCAAACGCTTCTGACTTGTGCCGCATGAAGTACACCCAGACCTTTCGTGAGTAATCATCAATGAAACTCACGAAATACATGTATCCTCCCCGTGATAGTACGCTAACTGGTCCCCAAACATCTGTATGGACATAGTCGAGAACCCCCTCTGTCTTGTGTGTGGCTGTCTTGAACTGCACCCTATTCTGTTTTCCAAGAACACAATATTTGCAAAAATTGAGCTTGCATGTCTTGACACCCTTCAATAGATTTTTCTTATGAAGCTCTATCATCCCACGCTCACTCATATGACCCAGCCGCATATGCCACAAGACTGTATTATCTGATTTAGACTCTACAGCAGCAACTCCACCTACAATTGTAGTACCCAGCAGTCTGTAAATGTTTCCTACTACTTTCTGTCCCTTCATCACTGTCAGCATGCCTTTACTTACTTTCATTACTCCACTTATAGATTTGTAACTATAACCATTACAATCCAAAGTGCCCAATGAAATCAAATTCTTCCTTAGATCCGGTACATGTCTAACATCACACAACGTTCTAACCATACCATCAAACATTTTAATTCTAATATTTCCTATTCCAACAACTTTGCAAGATGCATCATTACCCATCAGAACAGAACCAGAATTTACTGACCTGTAGGTGTCAAACCAATCTTTGTTGGGTGTCATGTGATAGGAACATGCTGAATCCATAATCCAAGAATCTGTTAAACGATCTGAACTAGATAAAACAGAAAGCATATCTCCGTCACCACTCTCTGAATCTTCTTCTTCCACTACGTTTGCAGACTTTGATGCACCCTCTTTGTTCTCTGAATCCCCTTTCTTTTTCTCTGGACAGTCCCGTTTAAAGTGCCCATTTTTCCCGCACTTGTAACACGAGACAGAGACGTCCTTCTTCTTCTTCCTCGACTTGGACCGGGCTTTATTGTTACCCGATCCATTCCGAGATTTGCTTCTTCCACGTTCCTGGTTACCTTTCACCACAAGCCCTTCACCTTGGGAAGCCTCATCACTGGCTTTCTTCCGCTGATGAAAACCTAACAGAGCACCTGTGACATCCTCCAATTCGAGGGTTTCTTTCCCCCACATCAGAGTCGTAACCAAATTCTCGTACGTAGGAGACGCCGGTAAGGAATTCAGCAACATCAGCGCCTTGTCTTCGTCTTCGAACTTCACATCAACTCGCTTCAGATCGCTGATGATCTGATTGAACACGTTGATGTGTTGGGTCAAATCCGAGCCCTCTGACATCTTAAGACCATATAGTTTCTACTTAAGATAGAGCTTGTTCGTCAACGACTTGGACATATACCGACTTTCCAGTTTCAACCAAACTTCTGCCGGTGATTCCTCATCCATGACGTGATACATCACTTCATCAGCCAGACAAAGCCTAATAGTCGCCACAGCCTTCGCTTCCAATTCTTTCCAATCCATGTCATCCATTCCTGCCGGTTGTTTTCAGTATAATGCCTTCACCATGCCCTGCTGCACTAACAGGTCCTTCACCCTCCTCTGCCATAATCCGAAATTCCCAGTTCCGTCGAACTTCATGATGTCGAATTTTGTAGAGGAAATCCCAGACATCGTAGTCTAGCTCTGATACCAATTGTTGTGATCGTGCAGCAATTATGATGAATAGTAAGGAATCAAACAATTAAGAAAGCAGGAGAAAATAACACATAGAGATTTACGTGGTTCGGCAATGTGCCTACATCCACGAGAGCGAGCGGCTGTTCTTTTTCTTATTGAAGTAGGGTTACATCTTAAGTATTTATATAACCCTAATATGGACATATTTACAAAAATACCCCTGTACCGTACCGCGGGGGCATTGCCCCCGCACCCCCAACTTATCAGCGTCCCCTATATATAAATCCCGCTCCGGCATCTGCCTCCTTGCCATTATGCACATAGCAAATATATGAGCCACACATACTCTAACATTTATCTTACTAATAAGTACTTAAGTCCACTATTTTTTTAAATCCCAAATATATCTTTAAGTGTTATTGTGTTCAATTATAAAAACCTTAAAAACCTTGAAAATAGTTTTAAATTAATTTCTTAATATTAGAAATTATTATTCTTTAATTTACTCATAAATTAAAATTGAAATTTATACTCTCTCTCTCTCCCTCTCTCTCTGTCTCTCTCTCTCTCGCGTTCCCACTCATTCAATAACAAATGTAAACCTTTACAATAACAATTGCAAACCGTAATTTAACAACTATTTTTTTCCATACAATAACATCAAATTTTTATGCACAGTAACACAAAGACTTTAACAAAACTCAGGAGGATATATGTTACATAGTAACATTAGCAAGATATTTTTTTACACAGTAACATCAATGAAATATTTTTTTCCTTCACAGTAACAATAATTTTCGCTTGTTTTTCACACAATACGATCCACAAATCAAAAAATTACATTATTTAGAGTAGTAACATATGATCGTCAATTGAATTCGGACACTCATCACCACTTGTGAATATCAAGACATCAAATATGTAAAAATAATTTCTTTTTTTCCTTTATAGTAACATCAACTTTTTCCCACAAATGACGCAATCAAACATTTTTCGATTGTATTGTATAACAAAAGATCCAAAAAATTGAAACCTAAATCATTTAATTTAGTAACAATAAATCGCATATTGAAATTAGGAATGCAAAAAACAATGAAAATTTTGAAAACTTGGAGGCTTCTTCCTCTGGTTATGGGTTAAAATACTACTATTTTTATTTTCAATTTTGTTCAATATTCCATTCTACTCTCTTTTTTATAAAGTATGTTACTATTTTTGTTAAACATGTTACTGTTTTTGTTAAGTATGTTACTATTTTTATTGAAAATATTACTATTTTTTTTTGAACATGTTACTATTATTATTTTTTTTAAATATTAATATTGAATGAACATGTTACTATTTTTTTATGTTTAAATGTTGCTATTTTGTTATGTTTAAATATTACTATTTTTTTTTTTGTGTTTAAATGGTATTATTTTTTATGTTTAAATGATAACTTTTTTTTTGTATACGAATGTTACTATTTTATTTTTAATGTTACTATATATATATATTTAAGAGATATAGTTTTAACCTATGGATATAGATAGATATGAGAGAGAAAATTTTTTAATGTTAGTCAAACTCTTAAAATTTATAAGTTTTTAATTTTTAATTTTACTTCACTTTTAAAGACAAGGGATAGTCTGGTAAAATAGACAAAAAATGGATTTCATAATAAATAAGTTTCTTTGGCAGACTTAAGTCCAAACAAGTATATATAGGAGAATCGGCCTCCAAAATTCTCATTTTTAAATACCCTAAATAACTCATATAAAAAAGGCTTTATAAAATATAAGCTCAATCAATCATTTAGGTCCAAAGCCCAATATATCTAAAATTCAAGGTTGTATTATATATTTTAACTATACTATATATTGTGTTTGTTTGGTTGTTATATAGTTATAATATATTAATAATATGGCACCTAGAAGAGAATCAAGTGGATACGAAAAATTAAAAAAAAAATGGACCAACTAATAGAATCTCAAAAATGATCTCTTGATAAATTGGTTGCTAATAACAAAAGTAATGGAACAAAAAATTTAGATCAAAATTTGAAAATGAATAAGTAGATAATGCAATAAAATAGAATAAAATAAAAAATATTGAAATAGAAAATAATGAAATAAAATATAATAAAATAGAAGATAATGAAATAAAAAAATATTGAAACAAATGATAAGAAAATAGAGGAAAATGAAATAGAAAATACTGAAAAAGAAAATAGTGAAATAAAAGATAATTAAATAGAAGACAATCAAAATCTTAATAAAATAAGTCATTATAGTCATATAAATATTTATAATCCAAGTCAATGGAAAAATAGTGATACAAAATTCTAGAGCATTTTAAACACCACGTAATTATCATAATTTAAATCTAGCATTGGTGCAGGTCGTTCTCTTACTTGTGCTCATATAACAGGGTTTGCATTGCACATGTTACACCACCCGAGCAATGGCCAGGAAAAACCCAAAGGCTCTTTTAATTTTCCCAACAATCTGAACAGGAGACATTTAGAGCAAGTCTTCTGTTTGTGGTTATACGCCGTGGTGGGTGGGACATCCCACTGAATGCCGCCTTGTGGTTATTGTCATTGACTTTTGCGTTCTCCCATTGAACTGACAGTGATTTATTGTCAGTAGATAAAATTTTTGGGTTTTTTTTGGTGTGATTGTGTTCTTGCCATATATTTGTTTTTTGTGGTTGAATCTTTTTCGTGCTCAGAGAGTCGGTAATTAGTCTAATTATATTTTCAGGAGAAGTCGTAGTCACTAAACCTGTAATGAACTGGATTCAATACAGACTAAAAATTTTGTGTATATATATGAAATAGACCATCTAATTAACATGACATATATTATTTTGAATGGAAGAGAAATCTGGTAATATTATTCGAAAAAAATCGCATCATCATAGCAAGAAACGATTAGATTAGATGGTCATGGGCGTACCACTAATAGTTTGTTAGAAAATAATTTGCGACATTGCTCAGAATGCTGCATCGAACTTCAAAATCCTGCATCCTTTCCGCGAGTCTTGATGAGTCCAATAAATAACCTGGAAAGCCACCGCCATATGAATATCCTGGAAATCTCTCTTTGCATTCACTGACATCCTGCAAGGCATGTGTTGCTTCGTACGCCACACGCTGATAGTCGCCAGAGAACAAGTATTTCTTTGCATGTTCGAGGTCGCGGATGGCTGTGTTATATCTTGCGGCACATGACCTGTAAAGTGTTCTTAGTTGAGGATCATTCGTGCTCTCGACCATGTTACCGAGTAAGTCATGAATCTCTCTAGCGCTGTTATAGGCCACGTCAATGGACCCATCGGCAACGCGATAACAATCTTCTGTGGTACCGGTGCCATAACCAGGACTCAAATTATCCCAGCAATATTGAGGATTTATGGTGCCATCGCATATCGTCCTCAGCTCAACGGTTCTGTAGCCATGGTAATAAGGCCTTGCCAAAGAGGGACCGATGAAGACAAACACAAGGACAAGCGAAAGCAACATAGCATTAGAGGAGGCCATTTCTATATTTCTATCTTTGGAAGATAAATAGAGATAAAACTAGTTTAAATATCCATAGTGTTTTTTTTTTTTAACATTTTCTAAGTAGATATAATAAAATCTCGATATACAGTGTCATGAGGCATACAATAACCTGATAGTAATCAAAATACAGGGATATGATTAGAGATCGCCAAAATTATACTACATAGATCTTCAAAATTTTTATTCTTTTGCCGAAGTTGAGTTGGGTCAGCGGGTGGTGCTTCTAACTCATCGCTGCATTCTTCAATGGCATTCAGGGCAGTCGATGCTTGACCATTGAGGCTTTTACCAGAGCTCAAGTGTTGCTTGGCATCGTCAAGGTCACGGATGGCATCACCATAACTTTTCGAACACGCCAAATATCGCGGCTTCAGCTGAGGTGTTGCCTGTTTAATGAGTTCTCCAATCATGGTGTAGGTTTCTTTGGCACTTGCAGATGCTAAGTCGATGGAGATTTGGGCGAGGATATTAACATCTGCCGTGGTAGTACGTGGATCGGATTTCAAAGATTGCAAGCAGAAAGGAGGATCAGTGGTCTGGGAGCACAGTTGTTCGAGGTAAGCATCTGTTGCCATCACTATTAGCCTTGCAGATGAGCATGAGGGACTAATGAAAACAAATACAAACACAAACACCAGTAGAAGAGAAACCTGCGACTGCCAGGAAGGACTACCCAAACTCATTTCTTCCTCCACTCTGTTTCTATCACCTGGAGTACTGGAATAAGATCAGAGAATGGGACAGTTAAATAGTAGTTTAGATTTCACAAGGTAACTAAAGGTAGGACATTGATTATTCTTTTTTTTTTGGCAAACATTTTATCAATTATTAAGTGCTAAATTTAGCAGTACAACCTTACATACAGGTCTTGACAATATTGATATTATTGCATCATGTATGGTAAGTGTATGCAACCTTTTACCAAAAAATAAAATGTGGGATCAGTACTAAATAAGAAATTGTGTCAAAGTCGGAATCTGATCAAGGGAGTGATCACAGTTGTCAAAATCCTACTCTTATTGGTGTTATCCACAATTCAATTGTAGATAGATCCACATCTTAGAAGGTATCAAATCGGGAGTAACTTGATTGATCCATGCGATTTGCATGTTTTTGGCAGTTTTAGGTCCATCAGGGGACAAGCCAAATATCAAACATTTTTAGAAATTTCTTTTCTTTTCTTTTCTTCATTGATATTATTGTCCAGATACACTTGTGAGGGTATTTAAGATGAAATCAACCTTTTCTTTTTGGGCAAGTAAATCAACCATACCCCATGAAGAGGAAGATAGACATTAGAAAGGTTCTTTGAGAGCATAATATCCTTGGATTTGTCTTTGTCCAAGAACCTATCATTTTGGTAAAGAGAAATTCAAGGCGGAAAAAGGACACTGAAAAGAAGCATTATATTTGTTATACTCCCTACCCTAGAGAGACAAAGTGCTGCAAAAATATGCTAAATGATGAACCATTCCTGGAGAAAAAGACACAGGCAGTAACCATTATCATGCTCCAATCTCATTTATGTACTGTTGTAATAACAGAACATGTGAAGATCTTATCTATATAAATTAGTCTTTTTTTTTTTTAGGTTCCAAAGTAAGTGAAGTCTAATTTGAGCAAATAGGAATCCACCCACGACCAATCTCAAAACCATGCCAAAAATTCCCCCATCAAGAATATATTTCAAGAAGTGCTGGGCTGGTATATTTAAAAACTATGACAGTTTTATTAACTTGAAATTTAAATCAATCATGGGTGAAAAAGGTATATAGGATAGTGCAATATAATCTTGAAGTTAGCCTGAAGTAGGCCTTCCATACAAACAAATACTCTACTCAGAAAGAAGATGTCGTAATTGAACTCTTGGTTCTCCAAGCAGTAATCCTTAATATCAGAAGATCAAAAGGAATCGGAACAACCATAAACACCAATCACAGATAAGGGCTAATCTCATAGGTGGATAGTGTTAAGCCTAAGATTCAAATGCTTGCAGTAATCTTTTACCGTTTCATTTCATGTATATGTATTATACATTCATCTCATAAATATGATTCATACATAGGAGTAAGTATAATATATATATATATATATATATATATACTAGTTATAACTCATGCCTGAAGGCACTATGAAATATAAAATTCGAACGCTCAACCAAATCTATTTCACTATATTAAATAATAAATGATATTAAACTATAAATTAATCAAATATTGAAATAATTGGGCATGTCATAGAAATTGGTGATGTGATAATTTTTTGGGGGAAAATATGTAGGGGATAAAATTCAACTTGTGAGCTATCTTATTATATAGATATAATAAAATAGAATACAATTTAAATTTCAGAAAATAAACAAAATAATTTTTACTATTCGCAGCTAAAATCTTTTTAAATTTAATCAAACAGCTAATACTAAAACTCCAAATTTAATAGGAAAAAGATGTTCCTAAAAGTGTGTTTGAAGTGACTTTTTGAAAGTTTTTTTAAAACTTATTTCTCTTAAATACTTTAAAAAAAAATAGTATTTGGAACCACCCCACAACTACCGTCATTGTCATACCATCACCCATACCACTTCCACGACCATCACAACTACTACCATCATTGCCAACCCACCACCGCCACCCCCACCACCGCCATTGCCACTGCCCCATTTGCACCCTCACCCCACACTCCCTGCTCCACCGCCACCACTATCGCCCACCCCACCACCACTATCGCCACCCACCATTAATTGCTACCATCGTCGTCAACTGCCACCATTCATCACCTACCACAATTATTATTTTATTCTTATATTTATTATCATTACCACCATCATCTTATTGTTACCGTCGCTCATGCTACAACTTTAGAATTGATCACCCAAGTGCAGGTTGTGCGAAGTAATAAATTTCTCGGGAGTCTAAGGTCGAACCACAGGGAATTGAAAAAACAAGAAACACAAAACAAATAAAAAGCAAACTTGTAAGAACAATTTATTTAAGATATTGTTGAGTTGAGAAAATATTGATTGGAGTAATTAAAATAATATAATAAAAATACTAGAGCATCAGGTACTCCCTCTCAATTCCATACAATAATGATTAAAGACTTAAATCTTAACTTGAGACAAGAATCAGATGTCGGTTGATTCAAATAACAAATCAAGTAAGAAAACCAAAAGTTATAATTAAAAGATTATTTAGGAACCTAAATAATCATTCAATTATATTATTTTATGAAATAATGATAATTACCTCAAGCATGGAATAACCAGTTATTTACTCGCAGGGAAATTCAAGTAATCGATGTACATGGCACAACAACTCAAAGATTTTTACAGAGCAAAAATTTTGCTATAAGATCAGAAGTTAAATTAACAAAATATCATAAATCATTAAACTCAGAATCAATAACATTATCGAACTTCATTGAGAGGTTCTTCCCTAACCCTAGCTTAACCTTCTAGCTAGACATGACAAACTAAAACTAGAAAGAAAAGATGGGAAAAAGAATTATCTCCTAAATCCTAGATGAAAACCCCTATTTATACTAAAAATAAATCCTAAGTATAGGTAGAAGATATAAGGTTGGTTTGGAAGGAATTATTTTCCAAAGAGAAGTCTTGTAAGGTTAAATCCGTTGCATAAAATCTTTAGGGCGCGGGTACAAAATCTGTTCAGACTTCGAGCTTAGATTTCGCATATTTAGAGGTTGAATCACGAAAATTTCGTAAAATATACTTTTGTAGCCCTTGGAGTCTTCTTTCCAGCCCCCAAAAATCAAGTAAATCGGATATCAAAGTCCAAAGTTATGATTAGAATACTGAAGACATGTCAAATCCTTATTCGTCTAGGATACTTTCCTGATCCAACTTTAAATGAGTTTTCTTCCATCTTGGACTCTTATAAAGATTAAATTGCTATCATATCTCTATTCAATCTTGACTCTTCAATCCTTATCAATTGCGATTCTTCCTCTAGTGATTGATTCACTTGCATTATCCATTATTACTTTAAATCAACCAATTTACCTGCAAAATAAACCAAACAACTAAAAAAAGTATCAAACTAAAAAATCAAGAAATTCAACACATTTAATCACAAATAATATGTAATTAATCAATCATTAAATATAATAAAATAGTAATTATGATGGTTAATCAGCTCACCGTCAACACCACTACCATTGTTGTTTACCGTCACCTATTACTACAACCCACCACCACCCGTCGTCGCCCACCATTGCCACCAGCCACTATCACCCATCCCCACCACTTGTCATCGCCCACCATTGCAGCTGCCCACTGTCACCTACCCCCACCACACTTACCACCGTCGCCATTCGCCACCATCTATCACACTGTCGCCTAGAAGCACCTATCGTCACCCACCACCACTGTCGTCATCCCACCACAACCACTACCAAGCACCATCACCGTCGTCTACCACCACCCACATCCACCACCACCAGTGCAGTCAACCACCGTTAATCACGGTTGTCACTACCATCATCGTCATCCAAAACCCACCACCACCATCATCGTTGTTACCCACGGCTACCACCACCATGACGGTTGTCACCACCCACCACAATTATCATTGTCTCCCACCATCATTACTGTCGCCCACCACCACTCACCCCCATTACGATCGGTACTTACATTTTTTTATCTCTCCTTTATGTTTGTGATTTGATTTTGAGTGTGAATACAAATATGTTTATTATTGAATATTTTTTTTTTATTATTTTGTGCCTTCAGGCATGAAGAATAACTAGTTTATCAATATTATATATTGTACACCAAGATTCATGTATATACATTATATATTGGTACAATGAATTGTAAATAATATTAAAATGTACCAATATATTACCATATGACTATTTACTAACAGATCACAAAGATGTGACTATGGGCACTGTAATTTATGGTGCTCCGTAAGACTTCTCTTTTAGCATTTCTGGTTGTATTATCAAATGATGAA